TAACAGATTCTGATGCCATTTTCTTTATAAAAATACATGGACAAATAACATCATTTATGTAACATTCTTTTATCAAATATGCACTGAGGCGATTATATCACATGCGCCCATATTGATTTAAACCGTACAAAGATATTTGTAATCTGATTGAGTACATTTCACGATACTTTGAACTATATGCTTCAGGCATTTTAAATCCTTCATGGATCTTCATATAGACTTAATCAAATGAGTCATATAGGTTATGACTTGCATTTAGATGGCGTGAAATCTTCAGGTGTCTGGGCTACAAGTCCGATCCTCACAATCTTTTACAATATTGTGAACTATATTGTATCAAATATATCGTCGACGATCATTTTGTATCGGTTCCTAAGCGACATAACGTGTTGAGATCTCATCACTTTCTTTATTTTCAGGTACCTGAACTTCTTCTAGAGTTTCATGAAATGTTATGTCGTGGGCTCTTCTAAAGCTCATTTCCTCCTCATTATGATCATTTCGATCATTTGCTCCTATCATTTTTCAAGGATTGTTACCTTTTGAACCGATCGGTTTACTACGCTTCATGCATGCAATAAACTTTATCCTTCAGGGACTTTAATTCTAATAGGAGCATTTGCAGCTGAAATATGATATTTAATTTTGAAAATGCTTCTGGCATTTGACTTGAATTATCTTCTAAGTGAGAATCATATTAATGATAATTCGATTCGTATAGCATATTTTTCAGTTGTTTATTCTATCCCCCAAATGTTAGAAAAACTAACACATATCCCCAATCTTCTTTGGGAAACCTATCTTTGTGTATCGTGGTAGAGAAATTAATCGTATACCACACATCAAAAATTATTAGATAGTAAAAATATTTAGTTTCTGATCCTAAACCAATTGTGAGGGGAGGACTTATCATATATTGTTAGTCTGATGCATACAAGTATTGTTGTATGCAATTTAGAAAATCTTAGACCAACATATGGGGGTTTGTTCTCATAAGCAATAGTTTAGCCATTAATAGGATGTATTCAATGCTAAACTAGCTTGGATATAAACCAGCATCATCAAGATGAATTATCTTTATTTCATAATCTGAAAATTATGCTCTTAATTGAGAAAAGAAATTTCAAATGCCAAACTGCAGGTTGACAATAAACACACATGTAAATATCTCATATATGCATCTATAAGTAGTTCACATGATAGGTAAATGGGCATATATTCACCTTTTATATATTCCAGAATTCAGTGGTCTTAGTCACAACTTTAGCTGGTATAATCAATTTATTATGAGAGTAAGCAAAACAAGAGAATTCTTGAAGAATCTTCTAGTTCTTTAATATATGATTATCTGAATTCTCAAATAGCTCATTTAAAAATGACAAATAAAAACTTCAAGTTTATCATGGCATGTGCTATCTTTTAGTAAGCTTCTGGTTTACTATGGCATAAACTTTTGCATTAGTAAACTTCTTTTGTATCAGTGAATTTCTGATTACTGTAGCTACTTTTGCCTCAGTAAAACTTCTTGATTTACTGTGACTGCTTTTGCATTAGTAAATTTCTGGTTTACTATGATACATGATGTAGTACAAATTGAGGAATAAGGCGGGTAACTTCTCATATACATATTATTTTACCTCCTATGATTGTGGAAACATGAAGATTTTCAATCTTCCAATTATTTGTAGTCTTAGTATGATAGCCATTCGTATTAGTAAACTTCTGATTTATTACAACATATGTTTTGACTATAATCATATAATATGAATTACAAATTTGCATATAAGCTCTTCGGGAGCCTTCAATTTATTCGTCCACAATCAAATATTATTCAGGCACTACTTGTGTCACGTGTCTTCTAGACAAACAGTTAGCTCTTCAGGAGCTGATAAATTTTGTACTACCAAATATATCTCAGACACTTCTGGTATCATGAGAGAATTTTTTTTCAAAATGACATAAACAAAATAAATATGATAGTAAACATCGTTATCAAAGCATAACTTTTATTTATGTACAACAATTACATAACCATACTATCTACTATAAACAACAAAAATTAAAATATTTATATTTTTACAGATTCATCATCGATCACATGACTTTCTCCTTCCGGGAGTGCAAAGTAATTAGCTACATCCAAATACATGAAGTCTAAATTATATTCAGAAATAAAATTTGCTTTAATATTCTTCTCTGTCTTTTTTAGGGAGGCTTGATACAGCTCAACCAGGTGCTTTGGCGTACGACATGTATGTGACCAGTGCCCTTTTCCTCCACATCTATAGCATGCATTTTATGTGTTTGCTGCTTGCACCGCTTCATGCTTTTGTTCTTTCCTTTTCCACTGCTGGTGGTGAGGAGGGTTCTTTGGTGCATTATTATTACCATGATTAGTGTTTCTTCCCGGACCACGGCCATGACCACGACTGGGGCCACGTCCTCTTCCACACTTAGCTTGGTGGAAGTTCATCTCATTCACTTTAGGGAATAGACAAGAACCAGTAGGTCGACTTTCATGTTTTTTCATTAATAGTCCATTATGTTGCTCGGCTACAAGAAAATGTGGGATAAGTTCAGAATACTTTTTGAATCCCGTCTCTCGATATTGCTGTTGCAGGAGCATATTCGAGGCATGAAAAGTGGTAAAAGTTTTCTCCAACATATCATGATCAGTAATATTATCACCACATAGTTTCAATTGGGAAATAAATCTGAACATAGCATAATTATACTCACTGATAGATTTAAAATCTTGTAGCCTTAGATGAGTCCAATCATAACGTGCACGTGGAAGAACAACCATCTTCAGGTGGTCATATCTATCTTTCAAATTATTCCACAGTATGATTGGATCTTTAATAGTGAGATATTCCGTTTTCAAGCCTTCATCAAGGTAATGGCGTAGGAATATCATTGCTTTGGCACAGTCTTGGTTTGATGATTGATTTTTGTCCTTGATGGTGTCTGCCAGACCCATCGCATCAAGATAAATTTCAGCATCAAGCACCCAAGACATGTAGCTTTTGCCCGATATATCCAGGGCTACAAATTCAAGTTTAGAAAGATTTGACATTATTTAGAAAAAGAAAGTTCGTACCTCTGATACTTTCAAAGTATTTGCTCGAGATGGCAGAGTCTCGTGCTGATAACGTGTTATAAAATAAAGACTATAAAGTAAAGACAAGTATATAGAGAAACTGATATATTATTCAAATTTCAAACTTATGTACATAATGAACTGAAATCTCCTCTATTTATAGAAGAAAGCAAGCTGTTGTGTAAGCTGCTTCTGCAAGCTACTGTGTAAGCTGCTATTGTACCAGATATAAATAATCCTCTATTGGGGGTAATGTTCATCCATAACGGAGTACCGAAAGGATAAACTCATTATACTAGATATAGATAATCTTCTACTGGGGGTAATGTTTATCCATAATAGAGTACCGAAAGGATAAGCTCATTATACCAGATATAGATAATCTTCTACTGGGGTAATGTTTATCCATAATGGGGTACCGAAAGGATAAGCTCATTGTACTAGATATAGATAATCTTCTACCGGATATGATATTTATCCATAACGGGGTACTGAAAGGATAAGCTCATTGTACCATATATAGATAATCTTCTACTGGGGGTGATGTTTATCCATAATAGGGTACCGAAAGGATAAACTTCTTCACGAGACTTATTTCCAATAGAGTACTAAATAGATAAACATATTCACGACGGAGTCTCATATAGATAAACTTTTTCAGAAAATTTATTTACAACTGAGTAATAAATGAATATCCATAATATAATATATTTATAACACAACTAAAAATGTTTAGATTTTATAAGCCCATTCCCGTTTAACGACAAACAGTTTAGAATGGGCTGGTCAGGGCTCTTATGACCCGACCTGTTCGAGTCACACTATCCAAATTTCACATCCTCATCAAAAGTCTTCTCCTTGCAAGCTTCCATTGGAAGAGATAAAAAGCATAAAAAATTCGAAAAAAGAAAAATAATGGCCACCTACTTACAGTTGCCCATGGCGTCCTCAGTACCATGTACTTCAACATCATCGTCTCCGCTAAAACGGCGTAGTTTTAGCGTTCTCTGTGCAGCCAATAGCAATAGCAGTACAAAGATTCCGATGCCTCCGCTGAACCCTAAGGACCCATTTCTCAATAAGCTTGCATCTGTTGCTGCAAATAATCCAGAAGCACTCTTCACTCGGCCTCAAAATTCTGATATGCCGCCTTTTTTGGATATTTACGACTCCCCTAAGCTCATGGCTACTCCTGCTCAGGTATATAATTTTCTTCTCTTCTGTTTTAGTGTCATTAATTATATGTAAAACAGTTAATCAGGTTTCTTTAAGCCTTTGTTGTTGAACTTGTATTATTTTCTGATTGGTTTTGTTTTCTCTGTGTGTATTTTGCTATTTGAATTAGGTGGAGAGATCAGTATCATACAATGAGCACAGACCGAGGAGACCTCCACCAGACTTACCCTCACTGTTGCTCCATGGTAGAATAGTTTATATTGGCATGCCGGTATGTCATCTTCTTAGACATAAGATCTTTTCATAGTTACCTTGTGCTTATTAGTGTCTTCTGCAACGTTTTGGCATAAGTAGGTATTTGAAAAAAAAGGCTAACATCAGCGACGTGGTTAGTGAAGATTCATATGGCCGACCCCAACTTGTTTGGGTTTGACAAGCAGTTGTTGTTGTGTTTGTTTTGTTGAAGAGAAACATATTCCTGCATTCTTGTAACTATTCTCAAGAAGACTAAAGAAAAGGTCACTGGACCCTTATAGTTATACTAAAAAATTTAAATTTATCAAAAGTTAATTTTATCTCACCTTGAGGATAATACCAAGGTCCCCCGTCTATATATGCACTATATTTTTTCACAATTATCATCATAGGTTCATTGTTATAAGTCCTGGTGACAAGGATGATCATGATTATTGGGTTTCCATCAGACAGTGTGGTAAAAGAAAAAATGAACCATGTAAAAAATCATTTATTGCTATTTGCACAAGGCAACATGCCAAAGTATGTTTCGATTATATCATGCCAATGTATGTGTCTTTGCTAGTGTTACTTGGCTTGGAGGTACCAGCTTTATTTGGTGTGTCGAATTGTTTGTAGTAGGCTGACTACCTAAGGTCTACGTGCCTCTGTTAGCAGCTAAACTTTCTAAAATGGAGAAGTCGAAAGTTGTTCTTCAGTTTTGTCAGGCTTCATATTTAATTTATTCAATTAAGAGCTGAACACTGTGATACCTACTTGTTTTGATTATTTGGAGTTTCCATCTGATGTACTACTTTTAGTTTTGCCAAAGTTTGGGCCTGCTGGGATATATTTTGTGGTGCTTTGGTAATAGAATTTGCAAACAGAAATATATTGACATTCACGTTCCTTAATATTTAGTCTAGTTTGCAGCAACTTGTCTTTGCAATTTATTATTGCAGTCCGGTAGACGTTCACTGTATTCTTTAAATTTTGCACTAGCACAAATTAATCATGGTTTCTTTCCAGTTGGTGCCAGCAGTCACAGAGTTAGTTGNGTGTGTGTTTTATTTGATTATTTTCCTAGTCGCTGTTACTGCATATTCCGTTTAGATCTTGATATGATAAGGTGGTTATACGTACACTTTGACCAACTTTGAGCTATCAAATGTGCTTTTCTCTAATTTCCTGGACGACACTTGATGATTTAATGATGTTTCATAACATTTTACAAGGTTATAACGATTGACTCATGGCTTTCCCATTCTTAGGTTAAGGTCGACAATATGAAAGAAACACCTTCTTATGATGTCGGGATATAACATGCTGTAATTCACTAATGTGTTACCACAAGGACGGGAGTTTTGACTTACTCAAAGTTTGTGCCTCACGCTTTATGTTGTCGTTTGTTGATCACTACTTCAAAGTTGTCCTATAAAACAGAAAATGAGCAGGGAGTGCCTTCATTACATGAGGCAAAAAAAATTGGTCACAATTTATAAGGATGGTCCACAATTATGAACTCTTATTGAAGGAAAAATAAATATGGAATGGAGTAAAGTTAGCCTATACCCATTCTTTATAGTCACCTGGCCTCAATCTGGTATATTTATTCTGGATGAACAACTTACACGAAATATAGGTGGCTTTCTTTTAATATGTTTTGTGTAAATAGGAATGGATAATTGTTTCTCTATTTCTGAGAGGTTTCAAAATTGCAACCGTGATGGACGGGAACATGTAGTTACATGTAGTTCACGTGGTTGGGATGGTCAGTAAACATAAAGAAATTAATAATTTGCCATTTTCAATATTTATTGCTCTTCTGTCCGTGGGATGTTAAACTTAGTAGCTTTATTGCACGATTGATGACGACTTCTCACTCTAAATTTCATGTTTGCTTGGTCTGTGTGCTTGATGGTTGTAGGGTATTGGGTTGATATTGTGCTCTAATTAACTGATCTTGGGATATTTTTATCAATATAGGTTGGTATGGAAACAGAAGGTTTTGCAATTTATGATGCCATGATGCAATTAAAAAACGAGGTAAGCTTCTCATGAATTACTCAACTCCTCTATGCACCAGCAACTAGTTCTTGCTATGATGTATCCATTTAAATTAGCATGAGAACCTAGAATTGTTTCTTATCTAGGCATTCTTTTCTTTAGTCAAATTTACTAGACAAGTAGAAGGCAACATTGGCTTATTGACATCTGATTTTCTTGAAAAATAAGTTGGTTTTCTTTTTTGCCTTGCATCATCATTCATATGGTTTGCGCTTGAAATTTGTCTGGCAAAGAATTATATTTTCTTGTTATTTGTATGATATTCCTGTATCTGCATGAGAGTTTGGCTTCGTTCAAAGTCAGTTACAGTATTTGTGTCGAACTTAATTGGGACAATGTTCGTTTAGTTAGTTGTTTTTCCTTAATCTCTAGGCGTCTATTATTGAGAGGAAGTACATTGATATTTGAATTTCATGTTCTACTTAAAGCATATTTCAATCTGTTCCATTTATGATTTTGTTGGCATATGTCAAGTTGTTAATTTCCTGTGCAGATACACACTGTCGCAGTTGGTGCTGCCATCGGTCAGGCGTGTCTCTTGCTTGCAGCTGGTAGTAAAGGCAAAAGGTTTATGATGCCACATGCCAAAGGTATCAAGTTTTCTTGTTCTTTGTTTACAATTTTGACAACATGTGGTGACAAGTTTTCTTGTTCTTTGTTTACAATTTTGACAATATGGTTTTTCTTTCCTTTTTATTTTTAACCTTTTTAATGATTTCTGATATTTGGCTGATGTTCTGTTCCAGCCATGATTCAACAGCCTCGCGTGCCGTCATCTGGATTAATGCCGGCCAGCGATGTTTTCATCCGAGCAAAGGAGGTTAGTGGGATGTCCTCTTTTAGTATCTTTCATTTAAGCTACAAACAGATCTGCCTTCAGGGTAGTGATTTTTAGAGTGTTTAATTTTATTGTAGTACGATGGTTGTCGATTAAATTTTTGATCAATAAATTATTTAGTTTTATAATTTTGTTTTTTATTTAAAATTTAGTTGAATTGTTTCGCCTTCCCTTCTGTTTAGCACAACTAAGTAAACCTCCTCCTAGGGAAAAATATCATTGTATAAAGACAATCACTACAGGATGGACATTTTTCAAAATAAATCAATTTAAAACTCTTCATTGAAAAATTCCATCCTAAAACTGAATTATCCCTGGATGAACTCATCCCGAGCTCTCGTTTTTAGGCATTAGCTCTTTGTGAACCTGAATAAGTTCTAATGGGATTAATCTGCTGACTAATTCTTTTGCAGGTAATCATAAACAGAGACACCCTTGTCAAGCTTTTGGCAAAACACACTGAAAATGTGAGTAGGGACCATTTCTTACCTGTTGTCCATTTGTAATTCAGCAGAAGCCATAATAGCATCTGTTGTATCTTACCAGTCTGAAGAAACTGTTGCCAATGTGATGAGAAGACCATTTTACATGGATGCTACCAGAGCAAGAGAATTTGGCGTCATTGATAAGGTAAATAATTTATCATGTCAACTATGTCATATCTTAAATGTCTTGTGAAGTTATTCAGGGTTAATAAATATCTCTCCATTCAATTTGTTCTTACCTTAAGGTTTAACAGGTGCTTTTCTAAGTAACGCCTGTTGTTGGATTTCAGATTCTTTGGCGTGGGCAAGAGCAGATCATGGCAGATGTTTCTGCACCAGAGCAGTGGGACAAGAATGCAGGGATCAAAGTTGCTGATGCTATTTAGCTTCTTCCTAGATATAATGCAATGGTAATATCTCTATTTGACTTTTCTATAGGTAAATGGAAGTTAATATAACACATAAAAAAGTAGGTCTATATAAACTAGGACTCTAGGGCGGGAGTGCTTTCTCACGTTGGTAGGTTTTCCAATGTTGGGCTCTTATCTTATGCTATCCATGCTCTGGTGTCCAGCCTTGGTGTGCGCAGGGTGTTAAAAATTCCCATATTGTTTGAGAGTGTGAGTTAGGCAAGTTGCTTTATATAGTTTTGGGCACTTCTTACCTATCAATTTTGATTCTTATAGTATCAGAGTCTTTACGATCTCGGTAAAGATTTAAGCAGCTTCTGCTACCGGTGGGCAACGTGCCCAGCTGTTATTTTTGGTCTTAATTTCTTTTCGGCATCCAACCCCGCCCCTCTCCGGCAGCCGACCTTCCTCTCATTAATCGGCGGCACTCTTCTTTTCAATGATTGTTCTACCTTATTTTTTTTCTGGCAACCGACCTCCTCTCTTAGCTATTGGCACCTTTTCATCTGTTCGATAACTGTATTAGCGTTGTGCTCTGTGTGGACCGACGCTACTCTAAATTTTGCATATCTTGTCATTGTCTTGCCACCTTCAAATTACATTAATGGAGTCAGAGATTTTGCAAAACCATACCTTTTTCTAGTGACTCCGAATAAACTGATTTCCATGTGTACTACAAAAATCACTTTCTGTCATTGTGCAGTTGCCAACGACAAGCCTGACACATCAGAGCAAAGAATTCCAGTACGACTTTTCCTTTTGATGATTGGCATAATCCCAACGAAAGTCAAGCTGATTTTCCCACTCTTGAGTTTGAAAGGGTGTGTTGAATGTCAAGAGAAGTTATACTATTTAGATGCATTGAACTCAAATAAAGAACATACTATAAATATTCTATAGGATACTTTAGGACATCCTCTGTTTAGGTATCGAATAACTTCTTACCTTTAATTATAAAGATGATTACCTACTGTTATTCGTAGCACAAAATCCTATTAAGGAGCTTCAGTTAATCGACTAATTTCACTAAGTAGTTTTTCTTCTCTTATTCGCTGTTTTCACAATCCGGATGTTGACGCTCACATGTTCTTTTCTCCAAAGAGAAACAGTTGACCATACACGAATGTTATTGACATTCTTATCCTCTATGGAGTACATTGTATTATTGTATGAGGGGCTCATGGAATCATTTAGTTCTTTAATTTTTGAGTGACTATGTTTTGGAGAAACAGTTATCCTATTAAGCTGTTTTAGAGACTTTATTAGCAGCTATCCTATTAAGCTTCTAGCTATTCATTGGCAGGGATACTGACAGAAGTGTTTCAACCATCAAGGGGTGAAGTTCCAGTTCATTTCACAGGAAAAGAGTTACCGAATGAGAATTTTCTGGTTTGAGCAAGTCCTGAAACGGACGCACTTGCTGTAGCTCTTGAAGATTATACAGTGTCATGATTGGATACTTCTTATAGCAACCAAGAATAGGTGTTTAGCTTGGATAAAAGCCTTGTATAAAATTGTCGTTGATGTATTCCACATTTTGTGAGTTACACAATCATTAGATAGCATTTTTATGAGGGATGGCTATCCTCTCGATTCTATAACGTTTCGATTTATAATAACTACTAGTACTATAAATTGATGGATTCACCATACTTTGGCATCTATGGTATAATGGTAATGGCAGCAACTTTGATTGGATGTTTTACTTCAAAACAAAATCGTCCCACAATGTAAGAGTGGACTTGTTGGTATACAGACTCGCAGTATAACGCGAAAGCAATGGGTCGGTTAAAGAAGCCAGGAAGACCAGATCAACTCAAGAAAACGGAAGCATGAATAATATCTCAAAACCAGCATGAACTCATTAAATGTACAGTATTTATTTTTAAGGGGTTCCCATAACAATAATTATTATTACTACTACTTAATAAGTGGGAATAGCAAACGCCTCAAGGTCAACATGCCTGCTTCATCTATGGGTATTTAAGTCATTTGACATACAATTGGACAATATGATTGGTCAATAAAGAATTAATCTTACTGTAGCCGCTTCAGAAATAGTTTTGTGTTTGGACTATTTTACCCTTCTGCTTTGGACTCGGTTACGCCAGTTTTTTTCTTTACATGTCGTCATGCTTTTGCTTAGCGTCAAAAGCTAATTTACCATCTAAATGCCAAGTGGCACGTCATTAATTGGATGAGCTTTCCAATTTTAAGCAGAATACATAGACAGCCCCTTAAATGGCCATATATTTCACTTAGGCACTTTACCTCAGCTCTATTCAAAGTGTCCCAATCAAACCCTAGTTAAAAATTTTGTGCAAAAATAAAAGCGTGTGAGATGCAACCAATTAGAAAGAGACATGTCGGAAAAAATGACATGTCACTACATTCCTCTCCCTTGCCTTTCTATTCTTCTTCAACCCATCCCACTTCTCTCTCTATCTTCCCGTCTCTTTCTTCTCTCTAAGATAAAACACCTCAATGTATATCCTCTCTAATCCTCCCACTTTCGCTCTTTGTCTCCAAAAAATCAAAGCTATGTGGAAGAAGAGCCATCAAAAGTTGGCTTGGAAAATGAGGTAGAAAAAGATTTTGGCCGGAAAATATGTCCGCGGAATCTCTTTTTCAACTGGAGAAATTAAAATTTTGTTGGTTATTTGTTGAGATTGATTGGCTATTTGATAAACTCCTAATTCGAATTCTTTGGATAAGAACATAATTGTCATCTTCTAAGAACTTATCACCAGTTGTTAGGGGCAATTATGCCATGAAAGATGCTAATGAACCCACTACCTAGGCGTGAGCCTTTGCACGATTCTTGTTGTTCGTGGCTTGTCGGAAAAAATGGTGCGGGTAGATTTGGTTCCGGCCATAAACTTTTCTCATTTATTCCTGTGTTCCTTCTACCCTTTCCTTTAGCTTTTTATTTTTTCAAATTTCAGCAGTGAAAAAGATTTTCCGACTATGTCGACGTGGACGTGGTGGTGTAGCAGTAGAGGATGACGGTAAGGCGTTGGTTTGTTTGGGAACACCAAACTCTTCATTCATTCACGCGCTCAATTTTGTTTTGAAACACATGTTGTGACATGTCAGCAATAAGTGCTTAATTGGAACACTTTGAATAGAGTTGAGGTGGACAATAGGTCGTGAGTTGAGTTAAAGTGAGTGAAAAATATGGGCGCTGTTTATGTATTCTGCCCCAATTTTAACTGTGCTTTTTTCTCTGATTCTCAATTAGCAAAAGAAAACTTTGAAAAATGTGCCCTTACACCATCATCAGCAAAGGACCTCATTAGATTAACATTCAAAGGATTAAAAACTAAACTCTAGATAAATACCTCACTATGTAGATTTATTCCACTGTTGCTCATGGGATTATAAAAAAGTTTTATTTTAGGGATCGTTTGGTTCACACAAAAATTATATCCAAATTATACTACGAGGATTATAACACAAGAATTAAATAATAACAAGATTATTTAGTAGATATATTTTTTATAATAGATGCTTAGTTTCATTGAAATATCAACGTATAATTTAAATGTGGTTGATTTTATACTAGATAAGCTTGAAAAACCTTTTAACTCAAATTTTCACCATTTCTTTTTAAGACTTCCTTGAAACGTGCAGCCATTTGCAGTAACTATATTACTTTCTTTGGCCATGTGAGTGCCTGAGCTTTATTTATATTTTTCAGTTTAATTAGCAAACTAGTAACTTCCTGCTATGTTCCAATGCTAGGATTTGTATTATAAAAATATTCAAACGACAAAGGAAATCCACAATAGCTGCTATGGAGTTCACTACCTGTTTTGAATATGGAAAAACTTAAAATGCTTGTCCTGTTACTCATTTTCCTTCAGCCTCCAATCGTTTGAGGATGAATCGTAAAATTCAATGAAGAAATGCACATATTTATTGATTTGCTTAAAAATAAAATTTATAAGTCCCAAAATGAAGATATAAGAGATTACTTAGTTAAATTATTCTTATATTAATGCTAATTATATGTTAGGGTTGCTTATCGGGCGGATTGGGCGGTTAATTACTCTTAACGGTTTGGCTTAACGGTTATCGGCTTTTAAATGTATTAATCCGTTAGTCACCCGATAAGATATCGGACGGATTGGTATCGGTTTAGCTCTTATCGGGCGGTTTATCGGCCTAATTCAATCTATATTGCGTGCGTTAATTGTTTGTTGACCGCCTAGCATACAAATTCATTATAGAAAATTACACATTGAGTCCAGACATACATGCATGTTAACGCCTACATAAGAATGATGTAGTGTGTGATGTGGTGTAGAGTGAAAAAATAGAACACATTGTAGTCTACATTACATCCCAAAGCAGACTATGATATGATGTAATTAAGGAAAAAGTAGTTCTAATGGATATGCCACTGTAACTCTTGCTAGCTATAACATGGATCATACAAGGATATCAAATTTCATTGAGATAACTATGTGATTGCTTGGGTTTAGATGCAAAGGAACAATTTCAGTAGTTTAGCTCATTAAATATAATGGTATCTAAGCTTTTATTAATATATTCATAGCACAAACGAAGCAAAATTACAATAAATGTGCGATCCTTCCCTTTGTTTCTTGTTTATTTCTCTTAGAAAGGTAACAATATATTAATAATTAACACAAAGACTGTGCCAGAGCCATATTTACAATTTTAAAAAGCAAAAATATGAGCTTGCTCTTCATACTAGGGCACTAAGATAGAGTGCTGGAAGTCGACGAGATAGAGTATTGCGGGTGGCTGCTGGAGTGCTGGTTGAATTTCTATTGAAGCTGGTTGAATTATGGTCGAATAAAGAGAACCATAATTCTGCTGGTGGCTGCGGCTGAAGTTTAGGCATTAGGGTTCTGATTATTTAGGAATTAGGCGTTAGAACTTAGAGATAG